GTCTGCAAATTTTATATTCTTTACTTAAAATATATCCCTCTAAATTTAGAAGTAAAATTCTTAGTAAGAAACTATGAATAATTGATTCAGCAAGGGTTGATGTCCCATCAAAATATGTAAATTTGAGGGTTAAATCATACAGAGATCCGCATGCCCGTGATGTTCTTATTAGCTTAGTCAAAATAAAAGCTGTTTTCTTAATAGAGTGTAACATAAAGCATGATGTTGTGCGTAGAACATTTTGTGTATGCCATTTGAGAGGTCAACAAGTTTTATTTTCTTTTTGATTCATTTGATTAATTTTTTTTTTTATTTGTGGTTATAGTTATTAGTAATCCCACCAATTTAATCTCTCTAAAATGTTTTTTTGAAGCCTTTTGACCTGTTTCAGACTTGTTTGGAAAAACGCATCAACAACGATACCATACTAGACATGATTTCCTTGTAGACACACATAGCCTCGTTCACTGGTGAGATCAGAGGCTCCTGCTGCAAACAGGGAGCAAACATAATCTAATTGAAGAGCCTGTTTAGGTTGTACACAACGTCTCCTCTGGCTATTCTCTTACTGTGAAATTTCCATGCATTTTAAAGTGACTCTGTGTGGGTTTATCTATACTGTCACATTTAGGATGAAACAAGTAACCGATCCTTTGCCACCAGTGATTCCAGTCAAAAAGCTGGTTATGAGTCACGTCAGAGTGAAAGAAGTTGGATTTGACTCATATGGAAGCTCATAAACTATCAACGACAGAGTTTCTTTATTAACTGCAGAGACACACGTTGAGCCAGGAAGATAAGACCAGAAACAACACTGTTCACATACAAAGAACCAACACAGATATGCACCATATAGGGTGTGTAAAAGATTATCTAGGACTTTAGAGGTTTGGTGTTCCCTTTGATCCCTGACCTACTTAATATTCTTTAGTTGGACAAGTTTTGGCTCAGGGCCAAACCTTTGCAATAAAGTCGTGATCCATCCTGAAACAGAGTGGGAAGTTATCCATTTATCCGTTAAACTGGGAACAATTGTAACGTAGAAGTTGTTTTGCATATATTTAGTACCTGAGATAACCGCTGAATGGTATTTAGTCCGCCTTGTGAACCTTGCGGCGCTTCTCTTGATTTGACTTTAAGATTTACGAGGTTTGGGCATGTTTACTCCTTACTGTCTGTCTTCAATGCACTGTCTTTATCTCACATAACTTGTCTCATAGTGTGTGAAGAACAATACATTTTCTTTCTGATTAAACAAATAATGCTCAGAAATAAAGCCTATAATAGTTCAAAAAAACGAACTGACATTGCATCACTGAGCTTATTTAACTCCATAAATACACTTTGACGTCACAAGGCAGACATACTGCACAATATTTTCCAGACTATATGGAGCACCACACTATAAGTCTCTTTAAGTCTTTTTTTTTAAACTGGAAATGTACAAATTTAAACCACAATGGGCTATAATCTGCTGATATTTACTGAACTGTCCCCTGCCAAACCTGTAGGGGGAGCTCTACATATGACCCATAGGTTAGGGACAAACAGAATTCTAGCTCTCGTTAGCTTTTTGGCTTGCAGCAGTAAGATTTTCTTTATTTCAGCTCTGCAGAAGTTGTGTATAATCTCTTCATTGGTTCGACAGCTTTAATGTGGCAAACAAATTTCAAAATGTGTGAATTCGAGAAATTTGTTCTCAGTTGTGGCTGCTGCTAGCATGTGCTTGTGCTAAATGAAAATTAGCCCCTATCTTCTTTGATTTCCAACTTTGACTTCTTCCCCCTGGTGGTCCAGACAAAAGCTGCACCTTCGTATAAGCCGCATGGTTCAAAGCATGGGGGAAACGTAACGGCTTATAGTCCGGAAAGTGCAGTATGTAAAAAAGGGAAGAATTATTATACCTTATATTTAATCATAGCTGACCAGAGTTCACATTTTTAGCACTTATACTTTATGTATCTATTTTTTGTTATTAATATCAGTAGCTATTTCTAAAACATCAATATCATCAGGTTAATTTTATCGATGAATGTGCATTCCTACTGTTTCAGATGGCCTTTTGGTTCTTCTTTCGTTGAAATCTTGTGAAAACATATATTGTGGTATGATGAAGCTATAGTGAAAGTGTTTATCAGCTTCACCTGAACCACCTGTGATGTTTTTCATTCAACTCAGCCAATCATCTCCTCCGTAGCCAATCATCTTTTCTCCCGCTCGCCAACACACCTTCCTCCCCCCCATGTCTTATCTCACTCACCCTCTGGCTTATTCAACAAACCAGTATCCGTGCCCTGAGGGAAGACTAATCCTTTTCCTAACCCCTTGAACCCTACGGACCCACCGGCGGGTCCAGCTGCTACGTGACCTCGTAATTTTACCAAACCCCCAGTATTGATGTAAAAAACATATTTGGCACAGTTTGGTGACATTTATGGATAAATGTGCCAAAATGGCCTCTCCGCCTAAGAAATTTCTCACTAATACCATTCTAAAATAAATATAATTCATCTGATTGAGTCCAAATTTGGTATATTTTTACACAACATTTAGATTTAAAAGTCTGTACTACTTTTTTGTGCTATAAATAATATTTTGGTAGTGTTTTGCAATGTTTATTTCAAAGAAAATTTTGGCGAGGTTCAGAAAATGCAAAATATTTTGTATTTTGTCCCTAATATTTCAGGCAGGGTCAAAGCTACAATGGTGCTGACACCAGAAAACCATTCTATGACATCTTACCTTTACAGACGTACCAAAAGTTTCTTCTTAAATCTAATAGCTTTGAGGCTATAAGTTATTTACTTTTGTGTGTTTTTGTCAGGCAGAAATTTATTTATACCCCCTTAGGGTGTAAGAGGCTAAGTTACTCATCCAAGCGAACGCCAATCCTCTGCATCTAAAGGACAGATTAGACTTCTCCAACGTCACACATCAAATGTCGCTTGGGTCTGTTCACGAATCAGCTTTGCTGGTCTGCTTCTGCACCGTCGTTCTGGAATTTCTAGGGACACACAGCGGTTTTCCTCCAAAGCATAAAGGGGTAGCCTATTCGAGAACTCACGAGAACTTCGACGAATGGTCACGAGAACTTCGGCAGCGCCAACGGGAGTGTTTATCTTCCAAAACAACAATGGCGCATCCGCAAGATATCACAATCACAGAAATGGATCTAGAGTTGCTAGAAATTAAACAGGAACAGGTTCAATTAATGGAATTGGCATAAAGACAGATTAACCTTTCGTCGTAGTTGTCCATTGTAGTTGTTCCTCGGTTTTTAAAAATGACGCGCCCCGGCACCGAATCCAGAGGGACTACCACACAGACAGAAAGGCAAACCAAGAACCAATCACAGCTGCTTTTTGTCTGTGCACTTCTGCTTGAAGTCTGCGCGGGTTTGCGACCGCCCGACGCATACTCAAGATTTTTTTGAGACAGATTTGACGATTGCAGAGACTATGCGTCAGAAGCAAAAACTGGCCTTAAGTCTTCAGCTTGTGGGCCGGGCGTCGAAGAACTTATTTCATTCATGTCAATATCTGCATATCGTCTTCTGTCTCCTTAAGCCCTGGTCATAATGATCTTGGTTCTGCCATAGATTTCTTCCTGTTAAAAGAGAGTTTTTCTCCCTACTGTTGCTGCACACATGATCGGTGTGAGGGATTGCTGAAGAGTCAATGATTCTATACAATCAGCTGGTTTTCCTCCGATAGAAACTTTTGAGCAATGATCTTGTTAGGTGGTCTCTGTGGAGTGCGGCATGTTGTGGAATGGCGCTCAATATACGTATAAAATGAATTGAACTGAATAAAACCTTTCTGTCACTCCAGGATGAAAAATGGGTTAATTTATAATTCCCTTTTTTTAAGTCAATGTATGTGAACATATGAATTTGATTTAGCAGACAGAAATTTGTATTTGGGATCATCCAGGCTGACAGAGAAAAAACAGTTTGTGTTTCTATTTATAGTGGATGCTATTTGGTTTCAGCAAAGCCTATTGAGTGAGCTGATGTTCATGTTGCTGGTTTAAAACAAATTAATAGATCACTTAGTGTAAAGAAAAATTATATTGAAAAATCACATTTTATTAAAAAGCATGGGGAAGATTCAGAAGATAAACAGCTTCTCTCCACACCCTGTCATAAACAGGACAACTGCTGCAGTGTTCACATTCCTTCTGTTATTTCACTCCTGAACTGGAGAAAACATCAAAGGTGTTTATGGGAAGAAAAGGATTAAACTGATGCTTAATTGTCCACAGCTATGTTTGCAGATCAAAGTCCAGCAATTCATTTGTAAGCAAGATGTTCAGCATGACATTCGTGGTGCTATATATTCTTTGGCAGGACATTTTAGAGCCCATTGTTTTCTCTGATAACAGGTTTTGAGATACATTGGAAAAAAATCAAAATCTAAATACGTAATTTGTTCTTGAATTGAGAAGGTAAAAGGGAGGTTTTGCCAATAGAACAAGAACATTTACATTTAAAATAATGTCCTATTTCAAATGCATTTTATCTAAATATCTTAATTTAAGAGTAAAAACACTCATTGCATTGGCAAATCCTCTCATTTTCCTACTCAAAATAAGGGTAAATACAAAATTTCTACTTATTTTTGGATAGTTTTTTACAGTGTATGGTGTGTTAATCTTAATCCCCCATTGTCAAAACAGTGATGATCATGGTATTATTGTGCTTTTAATTTTGCAAACTATTTACAGATGAAATATGAGATAAAATCAAAAGAAGGTGGGGAAAAATAGATTTTCATATTATGGACATGTTTTAACTCTTCCAAAATATTCCAGCTCTTCTCTGCACAGTAATCATTGCATGTGACTGTTTTACTACTTTTATTGCTGTCTTCACTGTTAAAGTCGTCTCCGGTTGTCTGAAGGCGGGTTTTTCCGCCAGCAGGGTTTGGTTGATTCGCTATTGATTTGTTGGAGAGCCAAAGGAGGAGGAGGAGAAAGTGAAAGGGGAGTGGAGAGAGTGGAGGAGAAATCCCTGTTTGATGAGGGGAGGGAGAGATGTGATTGTTGGAGAGGAGAGTGATCCTAATCAGAGTTAAAGTCGGAGCGCAGAGCCAGGGAGCGCTTCTAAAACACGTGGGACCTGGAAGAAAAGTAAAAGTGTCTTCGGAGTAAAGTGACTCTGGACTGTTTGACTGTTTTCTCTCCTCCTCCTCCTCCCTGCATTCCGCTGAGCAGCTGTGCTTTAATGCGCACCAGAGAAGGAGAGGACGGAGAGAAGAGTGAGGAAGAAGAGGCAGGAGAAGAGTTGAGGAGGCCTGGACACCACCCGTCCTCCCTCTGCGGGACTCCGTCCACTCTCCCCTCCTGGCCCTGCATGGACGGGGATGGGGAGAGCCGGATGCTGTTGCCGCGGGGCTGAGCGCCTCGCTTCACCGTCTGTGGTGCGCCGCTTCCGGCCGCTGCTGCTGCTTATCACCGCTCTCTGCTGCGCTGCTCACATAGGTAACTATCCCGCTGTCATTTAACACTTTGCCTTGATTTAGGTAACTTTAAACACTTCATTTCCCGTATGCACTTATTAGGGCTTTAGGTAATTAATAAGTAATTAAAGGTTTGTTTAGTGCCGGGGCCCAGCACCTCTCCTGTCTGACAATGGCTCTCTCCAAAGCGGCAGTGCAGCAGTCTGAGTCCGGATCGAGTTTCTCCTCCACTCTCCTGGGCCGTCATTCTCCTGTCTGCCCCTTAATGGCTCATGGAGGAGGGGAGGAGAAGGGAAAACAGGGCTGCTACCTCTCCCCATGTCCATAACAGATCTATTGAAATGCAAGTTCAGTCTGTGGTGTTGGAGAACATAAAACCACAGACTGGGATTTATTTCTGACTGGAGGCTTAAAAAGTAAAACATTGGAAGTAGTCAAAGATTCGCTTAAAATCATTTAATGTTTATAGATATTTTAGTGATGCAGGAAATTGCTTAATTGAAACTTATGTGAGGTTAGTGGTACATTTTCAGTTTATCTTTTGCAGATTGCTTTATGTTTTCCCAGCTTTGTATTTTCTGTTTGTGCAGACTGTTTGTTAGGCAGTCACACCTCCTGTAATTAGTTTAACACTGTTGGTCAGCAGGACCCCCCTTTTTTTCCTGCACACACACACAGCCCTGTGGAGCACACTGAACCCTGCTTGCTTTAAACCCCTCTCACTACCTCCTACCCCACATGCTTCAGCAGGAAAGAATGTGTATTTGGTTTTGGTGAGGCAAACACAGTGTTTTATTTGCTAAAAGGTGTGAATAATGTTTCGTTTTGTTGATGCATATGTACATGTGCTGTCAGCTCTGAGCATGTTTGCACAGAAAAGAAGGGAGCGTCTGGATTATCTGAAACTATTGTTGCTGGGGGTTTAGGTGATTGCTTGCTGGTGGAGAACGTGAGAGCGTGCACACAACATTGTGATCGATAAGCTCTTCACAAGCTGTTCCCTCAGCTGAGAGAGAGTTGCAGAAGTTTTATTTGTTTATTTTTTAGAATCTGATCTCCTGAGATTAAAAAAAAGACAAAGAACAGGTAGATAAACACCAGTCTGGGATATCTGGAGCTCTCTGATGGTGGAGAAGCTGCTTAGAGATGCTGTAGAACGGAAAACCGCTGCTTTAAAGCCTAAGCAAATGCAACGTGAGGAAAAATGTAAAATAATTAGAATATGGAGCTGTGGGTACCGGTACATTTTGCCAAAAAAAAACATCTGATTCCTATCTTGTCTTTAATAGAAACACTGGCTCCTGGGAATAATTCAAACAAATCCTCTGAACACATTAGTTTCTTACATAGAGATTTCTTTAATCTCCTCTTAATAGCATTTTTAAGCCTTTTCAGTATTCACCACCTTTACTTGCTTTACCATACGTCCCTTAATCATATGCATAGATTAGACTTTCTTCGAAAGAACAGCTATGAATACTTAATAAGATCACTAGAATCCCCTGAGAAAAAAAGATAAGATAATTCTCTTTAATAAGCAACCTTAGATAGTCAGAACATATTTAATTATAACATGAAAAGCTCCTTATGGAAGGCCAGAATCCAGCGATGGCTCTTTGGTTTTTTACTGGTGCAAACTTTTCTTCAAGGGCTTCTTGTTGGGTTTAATATTAGTAAGTCCACCGAGTTACTTGGATGTACAATAACCTTTTTTTTTTAACTTAAGTCTGTGCACTGTGATATTGTGGTTAAAAAAATGAAATGTGAACAGATAGGATCATGAAGACATCCATTGAGATCTATATGTGGTTTAAAGATGGTCCTGACTGAATGTCTTGCAGCAGTGTTTGAGTCTTGCAGGCCTGATAGGAGGGGGAAAAAAAAAGGGAAGCTCTGGGAGTGCTAGGGCAGCAGACACAATGCTCCCTCAGTGCTCAGACGGTCTGTGCAGCCTTTGCACATATGTGAAGACATATCTTTGGGCTGGTGTCAGTATTTAACAGCCAGGGGAGAGATTCTAAAGCTTGCTGTGAGTGGAGGGGGGGGGGGGGGGGGGTCCGATCCACATCTGCACTCTGATTTTTTTATTTATTTTTGAAACTCAGAGCAGCACTGCCCCCACATGGTTGGACACTAGTCCTTGGTAATTTTAGAAAGGGTAGAGCTTGTAGAAGGTTAAAGTGGTGGTAGTGGTCTAAGTAGACGTTACAATGATAAAGAGGGATCATTTTCTTTTCCTGTTTTGCTTGAACATAGGAGCCATACTGTACCACTGTTTTTTTTTTCTGATCACTGCCTGTGTTTCTGTGCAGCCTGTCCCTTTATGCAGAGCCTTCCTCTCCCTCTCTTTCCTTCTGGACTAATCTAATAGGAGCACGCTGTGACTGATGCATTAGGTCTGGTCTCTAATCTCTCTCTGCCTCTAACTCCCTCTGTACATCTGATGGTCAGTGATACAAAAGGCTCATTTTGACCCTCGTTCCACTTAGAAATGTGGAAACAGATACAAAATCAAAGATTAAATTTCACACCAAGGAATCAGTTCTAGAGGGGTGTGATGGTGAATTTGATTTTTGATCATGTGTTTGTTCTTTTCAATGCGAACAAACAAACCACTCATTCCAGTTTCCACATATAAAACATTTCATTCATTTTCCTTGAACCTTTTTCATAATTTTCCATGTTACAGCCACAAACTTGGGTGTTTTATTGGACATTTTATTGGACAGATGCACTTACTTGTGGAGTGGAAGGTAAATGATACGTCTTTAAACTGATATTTTATAAGCTTGTTTTAAGAGCACAGGTGCTTTGGAAAATTACATTTATGTTTTTGATTTTTGATTTTCTCTCTATCAACATGTGAAAACAACATAAACAGACATTTTGGCTCAAATATTACTTTTTGCAACTCCTTTAGGTCTCCAAGCAGAGAGACAAAGGGGGATAATTACCATCATATTGAATAATTTTGAGTTTTGCCAGAGATTCTTAGCTGGATTTATGTCTGGGCTTTGACTATGCCATTCTAACCTGCATATTGTTTATATTTATCCAGTTTTAAGCGGGTGAGGTGATCAGGGTTATTTACCATTTTGGGTGTCCTCCATAATTAGCATTTTGTATGTAGACTAAGAAGTTTAATTTCAGTTTTTAATTAGTTTAGAATATTTGCTGTTTCCTCTTTATGCCTTAAGTACAAACATGGCTGCTTAATGCTTTATTTTATTCTTTATTCTTCTTAAATCCATATTCACAGAAGAATCTAAGTTGTCCTGTCAACATATTCTCCCTCCTGAGCTATAGATTTCTGCAGCTCCTCTAGAGCTACTATGGGCTTCCCAGCCGCTTCTCAGATTATTGTGTTGCAGGTCAATCAGATGGAGAGCAGAAATTTGTTGTATTCTTAAAGACAAACTGCTCTTATTATATTATAATTAAATTAAATCCCAAATAAAAGCCTTATGATTTCTGGTTCTAACATGAAAAAACAGGATATATTTTTGTGTGTAGGAATTTTTTGCTGGACGCGTTGCCTCCCCCTGTGAATCTCCGTTTTGCAGGCTGTACAGACAGGATTATCTCACTATTGGAAGGGTGATGTTGCTTCATCGTTCTGTCTGGGTGCTCTTTGGTTTATTACACTTAAGGTTTATTGCACTTACAAAGCGGCACTGCTGATTGATCAAGTGTTTTAATCAGATGCTGGTTCTTTTGTCTACTTTTATTGGGTTGGGCTGTAACAGCATATACCTTTGTCAGTCTAAGATCAAAGGAAGTCTTCTCACACTTGTCCTTAACCTCTCCATGTTGGTGCATAGATTTTTTTGTAAAGATAAGGTTTTAACTCTTAATTACCACACATGTATATAATGTTATTATTTAAAGGTATCTCTGATCTTTTCCCGTACAGGTGACTGCCAGCTGGCTACCTCCCAGTGTCGCATCCAGAGGTGCACCACCGACTTCGTCTCGCTGACCTCCCACCTGACGCCCGTTGTGGATGGCTTCCACATTGAGTTTTGCAAAGCTCTGCGTGCGTACTCAGCCTGTACCCAGAGGACAGCTAAGGCCTGCCGGGGAGACCTGGTTTTCCACTCAGCCGTGCTTGGGATCTCAGACCTCATGAGTCAGAGAAACTGTTCCAGAGATGGCCCGACCCCCTCTGCCCACCCAGAGGTCCACCTTGAACCCTGCAACTATCACAGCCGCACCCAGCACACCCACACGCACTCCCACACCCACTCTCACAGCCACGGCCATGGGCGCTCTCGGCCTGGGTACTTGTTCTGCGGGTTGTTTGGGGACCCTCACCTGAGAACATTTAAGGACAGCTTCCAGACTTGCAAGGTGGAGGGGGCGTGGCCTCTTATCGATAATGACTATCTGTCAGTGCAGGTCACTAATGTCCCTGTGGTTCCCGGCTCAAGTGCAACCGCCACCAACAAGGTGAGAACTTCTGAAATGGTTAAAAAATAAAACGTTGCAGCCTTCCTGTTGTCAGTATTATCTATATCAGGAGCAGAGGCTGTCATACAGTGTGTTGGAGAGAACAGGGTTGTAAAAAAATAGGTTTAAAAAAAATAATAATAAAAGACAAAAAGTTGGTATTTTATACAGTTGTTAGCCTTTTCTAGCAGTGCTCTGGCTCTTTCCAAATCCAGTACATTCAAACAGACAGATTTTGGCGGCAATAGAAAGCAAAATATTAAACTGATTCAAATTGTTGTAATTCTCTCAGACTTCCTGTTCCCGTTATTCTTTCCCTCCCTCTGGCTCTCTGCAGCCTGACTGAGCAGACTTAGTGCTTAGTACACAACTTACATATCTGTGCTCTGTCACACTTGACCTTATAACGAATATAGTTTACTTAGAGTCATCTCCCTGTAGTAACTGAGTCCGCACTGAAGGGTGTTACATGAAGTTCATTCTGCAGAGTGAGTATGAAAGGTTGTATTTTGGATTTCAGGAGGAAACCAGGGTTCAGGGCTGAAAGTATGTCACTGAACATCTGTAACAGCCTACAACAAGGCTGACATAGTTTTTTTTAACCTTCCTGTGTGTGTGTGCTTCTTTTCTTTGCCACAAAAATAAGAAATCTTATCAGTGAGGAGACAGCAAACACTGTAGCTCTACTTGATTCTCTTCTAGGCTGCCTGTGTCGCTCTGGCTTCAACAAGCACACAGGTGCAAAGCAAGCGGCCTCGATCTTGTGACCACCTCTTGTGACTGCAGCAGTGCAGCAAACCTAACTCGGTTAACGGCTGCACATAACTTGACCGCTAATACGTTTAAACGAGATGCGTGAAAGAAGCCTCTGTTTACTTGCAAGCTCGTTTGGAAGTATTTGTGTGTCCATGTGAGGAAATATGGGTCCTATAAGTTGCAGTCAGCTTAAAGCACTAGGCATGTTAAAAGGCCCCTATGCAACAGCAAAGAAGCATGGCGCTACATGGAGCATATGAGCCACACAAGGTGATCTTTGTGGTGTTAAAGAAGCAATGTTGATGTTTCCCCTGATGATCTGCCCTCTCTAGCTTAGTGGATAGCTTTAATTATTAAGGCACATACACACACAGCTATTCACTAAGACCATGGCATTCCCAGAGAGAGTAGAAAGCAGGTTTTCTACACTTTGCAGCTGAAGGTTTGACCTTGTGTCAGAGGTGGGGCAAGTTATTAGTCACGACTATTAGATTCGAACACACACACATGCACACACACTTTCATATACACCCACATTAACAGCCCTCCAGGCTTAATGGGCTGCCAGGCCTCATTCCTCACGGCTGTCATGTGAACAAAGCAGCCATTCACCGGAACTATGATGCTGGAGCTAACCGTAATGCTCACCCACCACACCCTGCATCCACCGCTGCGTCTGCACACCCATGGAGCTGTGTGTGTGTGTGTTCATGTGTCAGCATGTTTTCTTAGCTGTGTCAAATTACAACTTGTTAAAAAGTCATCAAGTCCTTTGTTGAATATTGAGATGATTGTGTCTTCCTGTGCGTCTTTATTCACATTTATTAATTGTGTGAATATTCCTTTAGAGATGTTCACACATATTATTTAAAGTTTACACTATGACAGCATGAAAGTTAATGGCAATTGTTTCAGCTGTTGACAATCAATGCCAGACTACTTGTGTCACGCCCTTGGTGATTTCCGACCAATGCTTTGCTATTTTTTACTTGCATTTTGACCTGAACAAAATGGCAGACAATGTACACAATCGTCTCCCAATTGTCTGATGATGTAAAAAATGTCTATGCTGTTTCCCACTTTAGATCACCATCATCTTCAAGCCTTATGAGGGTTGCACAGACCAGCGGGTCTACCAGGCTGTCACAGACAGCCTTCCAGCTGCCTTTGATGATGGGACAGTGAGCAGCGGAGACCCTATCCACACCTTCTTCGGTGCTGGCGGTGCCTCCGGTAAAGTCCGGGCTCTGTGGATCTCTGAACGGAGCCCTGGGCGCCACGTGGAACTGCATGCTGGCTACATCGGTGTGACAGTAATCATCCGCCAGGTGGGGCGCTACCTGACGCTGGCTGTGCGGATCCCAGAAGAGCTGGCTCAGGCCTACGATGATACCCAGGACCTGCAGCTCTGCCTGAACGGCTGTCCCAGCAGCGAACGCATCGACCACTCGGGACACCTCCCTCTGCCGCTTTCCCCCCCTGCACTGGGCCTACAGCGACAGCAGCTGCGCCGGCCTAGCTACTCCTCACACACGCACGCATACCAATTTGGATCTTCACCTATTTTTGGCATGGAAGAGGCAAAGGAGCGCTGCAGCGAACAGCTGGAGGTCCTGGACATCTACTTCCACTCTTGTGTATTTGATCTCCTGACCACTGGAGATCCTAACTTCACACTGGCCGCACACAGTGCCCAGAAGGACATGGAGAACCTTCATCCACACCGGGATAGATGGAGGATATATCCCCGTGGCTCTGCAGCCTCCTTCTTCTACTCTGACTCTCAGCTTATCAAAAAGCTTGCTCTGCTCCTGCTGTGTACTCTAAGCATTGTATTCATGTGAGAACGGCCCCCAATGTCTGCCTGAATGCATGTAGGCCTGTATAAGTGCACTACAAAAGGAGTTTACAGAGGATTTGTTTAGCTGAGAAACGACACTGAGCACTGATGCAGAGCGAAAAAAAACCCAGAAGATCAGACATTTATTGGGAACTGGAAATGTTTTAGGATGCGGGGAGGTGGGCTGACCCTCCCCTGTGTGAACAGGAAGGCCTGCCAGCACTGACTGCATCTTACCTGGCATGGTCAGAATCATCAAATGCAACTGACAATGAGAGCATCTCCATGTGGGTGAATCATCTGTAAATAGTTATCTAGTTTCTTAAGTGCACAGCGTGATAGTATAAATATTGTTTTCTTTATGTGATTTTATGTGATTTTTTTTTCCAAATACCTCAAACAGAGGAATTTTGTTTTTTTTAAGAAAAGCACTTTATTTTAACTTTTTTTTTACACAATGCCAGTCAGTGTTTCTGCTCCTTTTTTTCACTAAACCAATAATTATTCAAGTATTTGTCCTGTTTTTTTTTTAGCTTTGATGCTAAAATGAACCATTTTTCCAGCAGCTGATCTGCGTGAGCATTTATTTTAAGGACAATTAATGTGAGCTTTTCTGTTGAATGTATTGGGTCTGTTGTCGCTGCAAATACCATCAGTACTACTCTGTTGTTATTGGATTCTACTTCTGTCTGTGTGTTTTCAGGGGTTTTCAATATTTTTGAAAAACAAATGAATGTTTGCTTTATTTTATGTGATTTACATCAGAACTATTTTATTGTTTTTGCCAACATTTAATGATCATAGTGATTTGTTTTCACTGCTTTGCTTACATATAGCTGGTAGTTTCCTGAATGCAAGAGCTTGCTTTTAGGACTTTTCTTGGTACCGGTACTTACCAAGCACTTTCCCCAAAACCTTAAAAGATACTTTCTGGAATTTACAAATTATTTCCCTGTCATTTTAATTCAAATTACTGATTACATCTGGGAATATTCTTTGAGCTTTCATTAAACCTACTGGTGATTTATCAAGATTTTACCAAGTACCTTCATTGAACTTAAGGCTCATTTTCTAAAACTTACCACACACTCTCCTGTACCTTCCATAGAAATAAGCACTTTCCTAGAAGCTGCTCTGAGGTACAGCTCTATATTATGAGGAAACTTTGCTCTTGATAAACTTGACAGAAGTTCCAGGAGAGTACCTGGCAATTTCCAGAAAGCAAGCTCTAAGATTCAGCGGAGTACCTGGTAGATCCCTGAAAAATAGTAAAAGTTCTAATAATGCATCTTGTTTGTGCCAAAATCTGACCTTAAAGTCAAAAGAAAGTACAGACTATGTTATGCTGTGCTACCTTTTTTTTGGTTTGATTTTAACCAAAGACAAATGGCATGTTCAGTGTACTCCCCACCAAACCAGCACCTTCATTCTGTCTCTTTTTAAACCTTGCTACTTTAAACCAGCTTAATTTTTGGCCCGGTGTTTCATACTGAGATAAAAGTGAAATATTGGAGGTTAAAAAGTATCTTATTGAAATGTGTCAGCATAAGCACTGTGATGTGGGAATCAATGCCTTGTAGAAATTTCTACCCTATGGAACATGTACCATTCTGTATATTTATTCCCAGTTGGTTCGATCTGCTTAAGTTTTAGCTATTGTGTGATCTTCTTTCATCATGTGAGTGTCGGTTTGGTGAAGAGTGACTGGTTAGTGATGAAATACCTTAACTTATTTATGAACGTAGTGTCCTTTAGGGGAAGTTAAGCTTCATATTCTTGTTGTTGGATAATTATTTAAATAAAAACGTCAGATGTGATTGTGCTGCCACCTAGTGGTGCTCCCTTGCTATGTTACTGTGTTACTAAAAGCGCTCAAAAGACTAAAAAAAAAACAAGAATGGAGGAATTAAAGTGTGTGCTGGTCTTTTATTTAAACAGAATGAAGTCCAAACACTCATGTATTATTTAACAGGTAATATACTAACAGTCATATAAGGCTGCTGAACTGGTCATGTGTTAAATGTCATGCTAAACTTAACCATTGCAGTCCATAAAAAAAATGTCACATTAAGCTTTGCAGAACAATTTTCTCTACAGTACTTCATAGTTGATGTAAAACAAGTTTTAAACTTTAAATCACAATAGATTAATTTCTAAAACAATAATGTATTAAAAATAAGTTACACTAAATGTAAAACAAAAAAAACATTTTCTCTTGTGTTTAGGAGAAGCCTTTTTTGTATTTAGGTAAGAGTAGCATTACTTTGGGACATTTTTACTAAAGTACAAGTAAAACATTAATTAACACAGTTATTCAAGTAGTAATAAAAATATATTTGGTTGAAAAAGTATGTAAATAATGATTAAATGGGTCATTACCTTATTACTGGTGAAAATGTAACTAACAGAAATATATAGCAAAGAAAAACAAATTAAGAATGAGTACAAAAAAAGTTTTATCAATTTAAAATGTCAAATATGCAGATGAAATAAATTCACAAATGCTCTTTTAGAGTCAGTGCAACAATTGACAACCCACTTGTTGATAAAATGGTTTAGAGGAAGACAAGTGAAATTTTAAACAATTAAACACTAGCATATATGGAACATTATTTCCTTAAAATAAACTGTTATGCTCAAATGACTGCAGTAGCGATATAAACTAGACATTTTATCTTGCATTATAAATTCTCTTTTTTGCATTATAAATTTTCTTTTTTGCATTTATATTTCAATGAATCTTACAGCTTGTGCCAATAAACACAGCAGTTTATAGTTTATAGAATTTTCAAACAATGTGAACTACTCTCAGTTTATCACGATGCAACCACAAAATCTATACATTTCATTGGAATTTTATATTCAAAATGATACATCTTATTGTTGAGGGAAAATGTATTTTAAAACAACTACTTATTTTATTTTATATTTGCCCCAGTTATTTCAATACTGCTTAACAAATTCTAGGGTTAAAAAAAAAAACCCATTCTGAATATAGATCATGGCCGTAGCATCAAACTGCAGCCCAGCGATGCATTCAGCAGAGATAAGAGACCTGGTCAGAGATCATGGGGTGTAAGAATCTCCAGTTATAGAAGAAAAGCTGTTAGACCATAAAAAAAAAAAAAATTGGGCTAGAGATGATTTTCAAACAGGACAATGACAGTAAAAACACAAGAGCTGAAAACAATAAAATAATTTGGTTCAAAGCATAATCATGTGTTGGGATGGCCCAGTCAAAGTCCACGCCTCAATCGCTGTTTGTGGGTATAAGTATAAAAAAATTAAAAAGCAGTGAATAATTGGTTATTTAAATGTCTGAAATGGAACTGGTAATTACCTTAAATTGTATTTTGCCATTTCCTACATGTTCTTTTAAAATAAATGTATCAAAACAAAATACAGTACCAGAGCTCCACAAGCATCTTTAAAAGTATGTGAAATTTACAAGCATTGATCCACCTGTGTGCCGTTATGTCTTGATCAGATACCATCAGACTTGGCCTCACAAACAGTCTTTTTCAACTGCCACAGTCGGCGACACCTGGAATTTGAAATAAAACACCCCAAAAAAGGCGCCACTACCAGTTCAGAGCGGTAAGTACTTGAGGATTATTTCTCTGGCTCCTTTAGCTTTTACCAAAGCTCTCTGCAAAACCAACTTCTAGAGGTCAACCATAAAGGATGGGAGAGCTCCTTTCATCTTCGGGAGTATAAGCCATCTCAGAGTTGACAAAAGAAGAAGCTTCAGTTGCTCAATATTCTTTATACCATCATGTTCAGCATCCAGAGCTCTTCCTTTCAAGAAATCTAAAAAAAAAAAAACATTTTGTTAAGATTTGTTCTTAATATATAAACGTATTTCCTCTTTTATTGACATATTAGGTTTTTTAGTTGCAGTTAGTGAATAAAAGTTCAGTTTCAGTAGTTAAAATTTAACCTGTTAACATCCACCTCATTTTGAAGAAATACTAGTTTTTGCTTTAATTTTTTTCATTTGCCTATTTGCTCAAATTTCCCATCTAATTATTTGGGATCTATTCCTATTTTCTAAGAAAAGTAAAACATATTCAAACTCAACCATAATGAACCTATAAAGTAGATATGTCCTAATGCTAAAATGGTTAAATGTACATACAGTACATAGAGACCCACTTTCTTTGGTTCTGGTATCTTGAAAAATGACTACTTGTTACTTAAATGTCAAGGCAAAATCACCTCCATCAGTAACCAGCTCCAGGACTCTGACCAGTTTTAATTTTATGGTATTGAATAAATTAAGAATACGTTTATTAAAGCAAAAAAGCTGGAATCTTCTATCTTCAACTGGGCGATCACTGATGAAATGTTCTGCTGTTTTCCATAAGATCTGATGTATTTTGTTGATTTTTTTTTGTTATAGCGTCCTATTTAATGAATCACTCTTACCATTTAATAACATAAACAGTCATTAGTGCATCAAAGACTATTATCTTCATTAGAAGGAGCCTCATACACATCACCAACACAATGTTCGTCCTCACTGCAAGAGCTGTAAATAAACACACGTTAGCAAGTAGAATCTGCTTTACAAACTGAACATTTTTCATTGAGGTCATTTAAAAATGCTATACCTTCTCTTTCTTCATTATCGTTGTTGCACATTTCAGCATCAGCTTTAAGAATAGTAGAAGGATTATCAGCTAACTTAAGTGCTGTTGAATCAAATTCCTGACAAATAAATTCAGACTCTGATCATTACCTGTAGAGGCGATGTTGTGCAATTTTTTGGCTCTTGAGTGTTTCCTTCGTCGCACTGAGCAGCTGTAAGATGGCCAGTTACTGGTGACTACGGTGATGATCGCCACAGCACTGTGACCACGATGCTTCCTGGTCACAGCACCGTTGTATGGACTGGCGTAGCTGTAGCCCTCATCAGAGGCTGACCTCCAGTTGATCTCCAGGTGGCCTCTCCTGAAGTCGCTCACCACACAGACCAGCAGTGTCAAGCCAAGCTTCTCCCCTGTTAGGTGGACCGGTGGAGCAAGAGAAGCCAGCAGATTACCCTCAACCGCTCCTGCAACAAGAACAGTAGAAAAAATCATATTAAAAAGTTTATAAGTAAACTTAGAAAAGTTGGACACTGAAAGAAACAGCAAGAATTGGTGGTATACATGCTCAAACACATTAGTAAGAAAATAAATGAGAGAATCAGTTATTTAATGAATTTCATAGAGCCAAACAGAGGAAAACAGAAACATGGTATGGCAAAAAAATCAGGAGCTTAACAAATAAACAACGACAATAAAAAAAGAGTTTTAGGAGAGGTGAAGGTTGTTTGCAAGACTGTAGAAAAACAAATGCATTGAGGATAAGACTGGGGACATTGAAGGTAGTCAAAAATATGATATTCATAGATGAAAGGTCATGAAAAGGGTGTCACAAATTAAAAAACAATTCTAATTATAAGTGGAATTTAAATAAATAATAGCAATAGAGGAAAATAAATACTTGATGTTAAAGTAGGAAAGTTTTGTTTGAAATGACTAAATGTAAAATTCCAAACAAATAAGTCTTAGGTTTTCTTTTTGAAGTCTTAGTCTATTTTGCTGTCAGATCTTCAGTAATGCTGTTCCCCCCCCCCAAAAAAAAGTAGCCTTAACCCTAATTTTCATTTAGAATTATTGATGTCTGATACTCTAAAAGAAAATCTGACATAATTGTACAGCTAATACAAATTAAGTTATTTCAAACATAACTCAGAGCACCTTAAAATCAATTCTACAATGAAAAATTAGGCAAAGCAGAGGCTATAAAATAGGAGCACTGTGATATCTCTAAGCATCGTTATGCATCAACTTTTTTTTTCTAAAAACAATAAAAATATTTAAAATGTTGGTAGTAAAGTACCATAAAGAGTGAAAATATAATAAACAAATCCAAGCAAATTGAGCAGAATCCAAATAGAGGCTTATTTTCCTGTAACAGAAATAATTTTGCATACTTTCCCTCTTTACAAAATAAGAAGGACAGTTAAAGCTCTCACCAGTCCATAGATAGATAATGGGAAGATAAATAAGTCCCCTGGGTGGCTCCGCCATTTCTACCCTGCAGTTACTCTGACTTTCACAAGCCCTGTTCAGTGTTTACTGTACGTGTGTGTGAGTTTTGTGCGTGTTTGTGTACCTTGTGTGTGATTGCATTAAAAAGAGGGCTTTGCCAGGAGCATTGCATTGTGGGGGATTGGCATGTCTCATTGTTGTGACCTTACTAACAATGGAAACCCCTTACACCCTCACAACACACAGGGAAACTCTAACACCCAGAAACACAGACAGAAGAGAGAGAGAAAGACAAAGTGTGAAACGTTTTATGGGATTCCTTAAAACTACAGGAAAGTAAGGAAGGCATTAGGAATAACACTGGCAACTGGAGACCCACCTGTGTTTGGCTGTTACACTGAGGTAAGATGATATCAGTAGCACCTGCACACAGAGACACACACACTTCTATAAAGTAATAAATATATGAATCAATTTGGACACGTTGCTCAAAATGTATTCTTCATTAAGTTATAATAAAAGATTCTTGTCTGTATCCTATCATCTTAAGTCACTATCTCACCTCTTTCTAGTGGACACACACCTACAAACTAATCTGAGCAGTTTTTTTTTAATCTTCAGTGGGCGGCATCTTAAAAGGGAAAGCGAAACTGAAAAGCAGGATGATCAAGGAAGCATGATGAAGCTAAAGTGATCGAGGTAATGCTTGTTTTGTAATAGTTGACATTTTCCACATCAGACATAGAGCTATAGTCTAGATAATCTCTAACAATGTTTTTAGGTTGTAGGGTATCTTAGATTCAGTAAATATGTGCATAAATAATATGTCTGGCACAGTGCAGCTTTAAGAATGTTCCTGGAGCCTGGTTTGAACTATAGCTGTGCTCCGGCAGCTGCTGTCACCTACAGTCCACTTCTTTCTTTCTGACCACATGATGAAGGCTGTCTTGTTTATGCTCACATGTTTGACTCCTCTAAAGAAATAGGTCTGCTGTGTGCCAGAATTAACTAAGCATGTGATTAACTAAGCATGTGCTCTGTATGGCTTAGTTATTCTTAGCAGGTTTACTCCACCTGCTCCATGGGAATAATTTAGCCTCTTTATTTTGGACACTGACTTGATAATTCATTCGATAGCTGCAGTTATATCAATATACAAAGAAAGTGTTTTATGTCCCAAACAATCTGTTTATTTTCTGGTAACAGAAACCAGTTATATGGCATAAAGTCTTATTTAGCTCCAACAGGTCAGTTTTAGAGTATAAAACCATTCTTAGCAAACATGTGGTGACAGTGGGAAGTAAAAACTCCCTGTTAACGGAAGGATTCAGACATGTTAAGGAGACAGAAACAAGATAAAAAAAACAGGGAACCACTGGCCATGAGTACGGTATGTTTTATGGAGGAGGTAGACTATTGTACAAGAAGCAGCACAGAAAAGAACAAATACCATATATCTGTTACTGGCTTTATCTAGGAACAACATGCTGCTAAACTAGTACAATTCACTGAAAGGAAGTTTACAGAAGATAACTGACTAAATATACTGACTCTGTCCAGGATAGAGCCACTGCTAAACATAAAGGTTTAGAGGCAGTTTTTCTTCCTGTGAGAAAAATAAAGCAATAATTACACTGCCATGAGTAGCAATATCTTTGTCAACGACTCCATTTGCAGATGCACACAAAATTCCTCCGTCAGAAAAAATTTTTTGAGAAAGAAAAAGGAGAGAAAATGTTTTAGCAGTGGCAGGAATAAAACAATGGTATAATAGTTAAAGTGAACAGGAGTCATTCAATTCTATTAAAAAGGCTTCTGTTTTCTACTTTACAAAAGTAGGATTTCATAAATGGATGTATAACTACATCAGAATAATTTAGCTGCCGTTCAAGTTCAGTTCCCAGACTGTCTTCTAGAATAGTTTGAGAAAAGAGGTTGCTTACATTCAAACCTGCAATAAAATTATTTTATGCAAAGAAACAATGAATACACAGATGTTTGACTTCTTATGCTTGATTTTATTTCATGTCTTTCAGGTTCAAAAGAAGAATCCCAGAAGAGTAGTCATTTTATTTTCATAATTAATGTTGAGTGGTTGCTGCAACTGACTTCAACATTCAGGTTATAGTTAAAAGAGCTGAGTGCTTAGAGTTGGTCATATACTGAGTCATTTTATTGAATCATTGCAAAGTCATTCCCTTTGCAATGATTCCAGTAGGGTTATTAGTGCTGTTGGCTGTCAAGGTGTTTCTGGTTGGGTCCCAGACCTCAGAGCAGGCAACAAACCCTCCTAGTTCTACTGGAGAACAGCCACCTCTGGCTGATGGTAATCTGTCTTTCCCCTGGAGTCGCCTTCGCCTGCCAAGGTACTGAACACATACGGTCAGATTAAAACAAAAAACGCAGATATCTGTGTTTTGACTCATTGATGAATTAACTGTCATGTTTCTGTGTTTCAGGTATATTGTTCCTCTTCACTACCACCTTCTCCTGCACCCTAACCTCACAACTCTCAGGTTCACGGGCTCAGTGCAGATTCAGATTGATGTCCACAACAATACAAACTGGGTTGTTTTACACAGCAAGGGTCTTCAAATCTCCAAGGCCACAATTTTAGATCCTGACCTTGCTCATGTATCTGATCAGGTAGTTACTAGTACAAGGGGGGCTTTTTCTGTCACTTATCAGCTTGACAATCCTTTTCTGTTTTAGGTTCTCCCAGTTCTTCACAACCCTTCCCACGAGCAAATAGGCATTTTTTCTCCCAGGGTTCTCAGCAGTGGGCAGAAGTATTTCTTGTATATAGAGTTTGAAGCAGAGCTGGCAGATGGATTTTATGGATTCTATAAGAGCACCTACAGAACCAGTGAAGGAGAGATCAGGTAAGAGCAAGTTTCCTGTTTTTTTTAGCAATCCTGTAAACATTATCCAACACACACCTTTTGCCACCACTGTGCTACTATCTATTTACAGAAACCTAGCTTCCACTCACTTTGAACCCACAAGCGCTCGAATGGCATTTCCTTGTTTCGACGAGCCAAGCTTCAAAGCCAATTTCTCTGTGCGGATCAGGAGGAGCCCAGAGTACATTTCTCTCTCCAACATGCCAGTAGTGAGTGCTGCATCTTTGAAAGGCGCTGCATACATTTCATACATTGATAAAAGAAAAATCCTCAGCGTTCCTCTGGGTTTCAGATCAAAACTACACCACTGAGCGGCAAGCTTTTTGAAGATCAGTTTGCCCCGAGCGTAACAATGAGCACGTACCTTGTAGCTTTCATCGTTTGTGACTTCAAGTCTGTGAGTGCAACAACATCATCAGGGGTCAAGGTGAGGTCCTTACGGTTTGCTAAACTGCCGTCACTTTTTTACTTGACTATAACTTTCTCAACCCTGAATTTTGGTTCATCACTGGTTTTGATTTTTCTATAGGTCTCCATATATGCTGCGCCTGAGAAGTGGAAGCAAACTCACTATGCTTTGGAGGTTGCAGTTAAAATGCTGGACTTCTATGAGGAGTACTTCAACATTCGCTATCCTTTACCCAAACAAGGTTACATTAATTTCCTTTCTTATGTCTTGTGTCTAGTCTTTACCCTCTACTCTTCATTACTTTTTCATCCTCTTGCAGATCTAATTGCCATCCCAGATTTTCAGGTTGGCGCAATGGAGAACTGGGGCCTGACTACCTATAGAGAGACCAGCCTTCTCTATGAGCCCCTCACGTCCTCCATCTCTGATAAACTCTGGGTTACAATGGTCATTGCTCATGAACTTGCCCATCAGGTAAAAAAAAAAGTTCAGCTCAATAAGGCATTCAGATCATTATCTCACAATTCTACTCTAAATGCCCTAGATTTAGACAAAGACTTAGAGCTAAAGTTCTTTTGTTTGCACTGTAGTGGTTTGGGAACTTGGTGACCATGGATTGGTGGAACGACATCTGGCTAAATGAAGGATTTGCTAGATACATGGAATACATTTCAGTGGAGGCCACTTACCCTGATCTCAAAGTGGTAAAGTGTTTTATCCAATAATTATTTATCACAGTTATTCCCTAAAGAGAGGACTGATATTAATTTAACTGTTCTGGCAGGAGGAGTATCTACTGCACACATGTTTTGCAGCAGTTGGTCTTGATTCATTGAACTCCTCCCGGCCTATATCCAGCCCTGCAGAGAGCACCACTCAGATTGAAGAGATGTTTGACACAGTTTCCTATGACAAGGTAGAAGCTCTCTATTTTGATCATAATTGATAGGCCCTAAATTGAGGTTGCAGACACAAAATTTACATAATAAGATATTTTTTACACACTAGGAGAAATCAGTACATCTTCATTACCTCTCATAGTTAACAGCTACAATTTTTTTCTAGGGAGCATGTGTCCTCCACATGCTAAGGCATTTTCTGACTGAAGAGGTGTTTCAGGGCGGGACTGTGCGATACCTACGCAAGTACAGCTACGGAAATGCTAACAATCAGGACCTGTGGGACAGCCTGTCAAATGTAAGACACTATGTTTTTTTCTCAGACCTTAGATTACATTAGGGAACATCTTAATAAAGAAGCATTGTAAAGCTGTGCAGTGCATCTTTCACATTTATAGTAACAAAAGGACAAAGTGAGTTTGTTGTTCTGCCTTAGCATTTGACACAAAAATGAAAAGAAAAAAATGAAAAAAATAGAACAATGTTAGTTAATATTGGACCAGTATATTTCATATCCAAGTTTAATATTTAATAAAAAAGAAGAATATATTTATTTAGACATGCTCAGAAGATGACTTCACCTCAGGAAAACATTGCTACAGCAGTGGCCAGGCCTCTAAGAATGCAGTGAGTAAAATATTTAAACCTCACTCGCTCTCCTGATGTCAAAACATTCAAACAATATGGTTTGCAAGTGCTGATGTTTAATGTCGTCCTGCAGTATCTGTTTGCAGGGGAACACCTGAACCTGACAGCCATGATGAACACTTGGACTCTACAGAAAGGGATTCCTTTGGTTACTGTGAGCAGAAAAGGGCCACGACTGCTGCTTAGGCAAAATCGGTTCTTGAGGACGGTTCTTCCCTCTGATCCTCAGTGGGCTGCTGTGCAACAAGGGTAAATTCACAAGTATTAGTAACTTAATGGTCCTTTCAAACTTTTGGTCCAATTTTTATAATGAACACATTTTTTTATTTTATACACACTTTTGTTTTTAAATAGTTTCCTTTGGCATATTCCTCTGACATATAAGACTGATACATCCAACACCATCCACAGACATCTGATGACTTCTCCCACAGGTAAGAGATTAAATATCATCCTGTGTGAAGGTCTACCATTTTCACCTTTGCTTTCTGATAATCCAACTGTTTTATGCTGTTTCGTTTTTTAGACAGCATACACATCGGAGAAGAAGTTAGTTGGGTGAAAGTAAACTCTGATATGACTGGTTATTATGTGGTTCATTATGCTGATGATGGCTGGGATGTGATAGTAAAATTACTGAGGGAAAACCACACTGCTCTGAGCTACAAGGACAGGACCCACTTGATACACAATGCATTTCAGCTGGTTACGTAAGTGATAATGTTGCATAAGAAAAGCTTCTATATGTCTGTAAAGAAAGTAAGGGTTACATTTTCTATCCATGTAAAGGGCGGGGCATCTCACACTTGACAAAGCCTTGGACTTGATTGGTTATCTACAAAAAGAGAAACACATTGTACCTCTCCTCCAAGGACTGGGTTATCTAGAGGTCTTCTACCACATTATCGAGAAGAGAGATGAACCTGTTTTAACTCAAGATCTGGGAGTAAGAGAGCAATATATCAAAGCATTTCCTAAAAGGTATTTTATTTTGACGTTGTCAGAATGTGACGTGCTGTTTCTCTGCCTCTGAGCAGAAGTACATCCTGCAGTTTTTCGGAGCTGTCATTGACCAGCAGACATGGAGTGACAGCGGCACTGTGTCTGAGCGACGTCTGAGGTCGGAGGTCCTGTCTCTGGCCTGTCACCTGGAATACCCGCCTTGTCTGGAGCGTGCAAATAAACTCTTTAAAGACTGGCTCCATTCCAATGGAACATTGAAGTCTGTTTGAATCACATTTTAATAAATATAATTTTACTTTTAATTTTCATTTTATGATACATTTTGATAGTACCTTCAGGAAAGTTCTAATTTATTAGATAGACTCAACAAGGTGTCAGAAACATTTCTTAGAGATTTTTGTCCATAATGATAGGATAGTTTTAAAAAGTAGTTATGGGATTTTTGTGATTCACTTGTTCCATTTAACCCCAAAGGGGCTTTGTTAGTGTGTGATAGTTTAATCTTAACTATGTTTAAATTGCTAATTGTATTGAGGTGAGGGAATATGATTGACTAATTCCCTGTTGATGTTACGTTTCCATATCATCTATCCTCTGAAAGAATGGGTTGCATACTTTATATGTCACTGAGTCTAACATCACGTCCTGTGTTTACTATAGTTTACCTACTGATGTGGCAGAGACCATTTTCTCTGTGGGAGCACAGGATGACCACGGCTGGATCTCGCTTCTGAACTTGTACAAGATTTCCCTCTCTGAAGCACAGAAAAAAATGATTCTTTTTGCTTTGGCAACCAGCAAAGACCCAGACAAGCTCAAAAGGTGCTGGAGGATAATTTATTCTAAGACATGGTATTACCATTATGTGGCAAAAATTATTATGTGTATCACAGTGCAGCTGCCTTGGTTTGTAAAAGACAAACTGTGAAATGAAAAAAACAAACAAACAGCACAATTGTGGACATAAATGGTAAAGAAAATCCGTTGTGTAAGTATGTGTTATTGTATGTATTAATTTTGCAGGCTGCTGGCGATTGGTCTGGAAGGGAAGGTGATCCGATCACAGGACCTATCCTACGTGGTTTGGATGGTTGCTCGGAACCCAAAGGGATACGATCTCGCCTGGAACTTTGTCAAAAAGAACTGGGACTCCCTGGTTGAAAAGTAAGAATGACTCATTTTTAAAATATCAGCATATTTAAGTCTATAAATATGAAAGCTTTTGAAGGTCTCTCTGATGAACGGCCTCTTACCATCAGAGCACCCTTAAGATTTCATCCGAAGATTTTTGGAGCAAATATTGGGTTTATTTCAACAGTCCTGGTTTTTGTATTTCTAAAAATTGTCCTCCATTTTTTCACACATGCAGGTTCCAGTTAGGCTCATCCTGCATCAGGAGCATGATTATTGGGACCACAGGGCAGTTTTCATCTCCTGAGGAGCTAACTGAAGTAAATTTATACTTTAATCATTGAAGATTTGTGTGTTTATTTTAAAGTTGACATCTGCCTCTATTTAACTTATTCAAACATTTTGAATAATTTACCTTAGCAATGAAAATATTACAATATTATAATAATACTTATTATGTAGTAATTTATTTTCTCTTTATGTCTGTGTTTTTCCTCAGGTGGAACATTTCTTTGAATCCATTAAAGAGCAAGCCTCCCAGCTTAGAGCAACGCAGCTTGCCCTAGACAATATGAAGAAAAACATCAGATGGATTCAGAGAAACTTGGAAACTTTGAGAAACTGGCTCAATGATCAGGTCAAATGACATACAGCAGAAACATGCCAGCCATCTGGGAAAACAAAAAAAATGTAACTCTGGGAAAGAGACTTTAATTATTTTTCGAGGATTTTGTACGTGCTGCCTTAATTTTTGAGATAATAAAAAGCTTTGTAAACGTAAAATATTCAAAATCTTGAATTTTCTCTGTTAGAGAAAAAATAGTTAATGAGGAAAATGGCAGATAGTGGGTATCATGAACAGTTTGTTGTTGTTTGTGTGAGAAAAAGAGAGCAAAGATTATCAATTTGTCTATAAATGGATTCATAGTGCCTCCTTGCTTCATTGTGTTGTATTAACTGTTTACTTTTACCCAACTCATACTACTGTGCATCTACATTACTTTTTGTTGTCATTTGTCCACATAGATAGAGAATATGTGGAACACCTCTATAATGACTTCACCACAGACATCCCCAAAGATCAGACTGTAGCATTATTTAATAAAGGAAAGCTATATAAGCACAATTCATGATTTCTGATAGAATAGTACGGTATCCAATTAGAATGACATGGTGTGTCGACCACAACAGCCTCAAAATATGTTAAGTGTCTGCCTATGGCTTCTTGTCACCAATATGAAATTTAACAACTTCAGTGACCTTTACCATTATAGACTTGCCACCTAATACTAAAAAACAAAGTGGTTCTTTTCCACAATTTCTAAAACACCTCCGACCAGCTTGCTTGCTGTTCCATCAGTCCAGATAGGAACATGTCCTGAAGGCCTTATTCAGAATGCCAATATATAATTTTTCAGTTTCCTGTGGCATTAGTGGTCTTTATTTACACTCAGTAGGTAGGGAGAAAAGAAATTCAGCAAAGGTCCTACAGTCAATAATTGGGCTAAGAACAGCTGCAGACCCACTCTACAGCTCCATCATGGGTAGCCCCAGCAAACAAAATTTACCCTACACATCAGATAATCTAAAATGCTTTCAAAGAAAAATCAAAGGTTCACAGACACTGGGAATACCTTAATTTAATGATAGTTGAGAGAAAACTTTAAGGTTTTTAAATCAGCCAAACATAAGTTAAATATAGGCACACTTGTGTGGATATGTCTCAAAAGCTGGGATTGACACCACACCTGAGCTTAGAGCATTATTTTTGGAAAAAAAAAGTAGAATTTCCTTTTTTGTGCAAACTTCAATTGATAAACAAGCTGATATTATTTTAGCTTTTTAACTGGTATCAGTCAAACATTCTGTTGCTTGATTTTGTACCATCTGGACACCTTACAGATTATTTTAATAAACCTGATAACAGAGCATTGTTATGATTAATTATTATAGATAAAGACATGAAACAGGTACTTAGCATCCTTAGAATATTTGTGGTCTAAGACAAAAATGTGTGAGAAATGGGCTTTGTAAAAAGGTAGTAAAGATAAATTAATTATACAAATAGGTGAAAACTATGTTTAAAAACTGTATTAAGAAAAGGTTAAACTAGATGTATTGTGTGACAATAATAACAGAAGGATTTTTTTTTTGTTTTTTTTAATGTAAAAATCTGTTTTCAAAAGCCCCAACTCCTTGAAACATTCCTGCTTGTAGTTACATTTCTGCTCTTTAAACTTGAGCATGTATTATATTAGCACATTTTAAGCTTTTGCAGAGGAGGACTAATGGGGTAATCTTAAAAAAAAAAAAAAAAAAAAAAAAAAAAATATATATATATATATATATATATATATATATATATATATATATATATATATATATATATATATATATATATATATATATATATATATATATATATTATATATATATATATTATATATATATATATATATATCAATAATATATATATATTATTGATCAGAACGCTAATTACATATTCAGGTAGGAATCTCCACTTTGCATTCTTACAAAAAAGAGAAAATAAAAAAAATCATCATATACAGGAGATCAACGTAACTTGTGCAAATCAAAGGAAATATGACCTATCATGTGCACTCCTAGAATGGGGTCTTCGCCCCGCCCCTAAATATCATCATCCAATCGGATGAGACCTTTCTAACTTGACGAAACGTTGTCAACAACTGGCTTGAAGAGGAAAGTGTCTTCTAATTTTGCTCTTCTGAGCCGGTGGGCTCAATTTTGTTTTTATCTGGGTTTATTTCCCCCTCGAATAGTTGGATATACAGATAATTATACCCAGTTTACACGTTTTTTACAAAGCCAACAATGAGGGTCGGAGTTGTCAGTGGCTAACATTAGCCGTCTGAATGCTGTTCAGGCTGATTTAAGTCAGGGGGGAGGCTGCTGATAATAACTGTGTGCTTGTGGGGTGAGGCCATCCTAAAACGTTACCTCAGCCGGACGTCTTTGAAGATTAAGTGTTGCTTCGCTTCATTTTGGATAAAAATAAAATCTTTGAGAGAAACTACTATGGATCTGTTTGACAGCAACGCCGCAGGTAAGAAAGGCAGACGGTGGATAGCAGCTAACAGCAGCAGGCCAGCTAATAACTGTCTGCTTAGTCTGAGCTGCAGTGACACTATGACATTCACTGCTATTATCACTGTCTCTTTTACTGGATGAAAAGTTGATTTCCTATATATAAGTTTGAAAACGTACATGTTGTTTGAAACTAGAAGTTGTTCTCAGGACATTTAAGACAGCAAAGATTGAGCCATTGCTAAACAGGAACTTGTTTTTTTCCGTTTAAAGTGAAACCACAGCAGCCCTGTCCATGTATGTTTAGTCAGTTTATAGCCTTTTAAACGTTTGTTAACGAGGTATAAGTCAGCTCTATTAACCATTGATTTAGTCCCCGCGTGTTATTAAAACAAACAGTCATTGTGAGCATTACAGAAGGCTATAAATAAAACAGAAGCAATCAAATCACGACGGTGCAACTTCCCTTTTCTGTTGTTTTTTTTCTTCAGAAATCTTAGTTGTTGGTTTTGCTCTTCTTTTTTTTTTTGCACACAATCGAAATTAAATTTCACGTTCAGATTTTTGATCAGATAGCCAAAGACAATGAAATCAAACCCAATGTACAGTATGTAATGTGGACTTAAGATCTTTGCAAAAGATTTATCACTTAAATGATCCACATGTTGTCATTTTAAAAGCCCCAAACTACTATTTTTCAAGTGGGGGTTTATAGTATAAACACAAATGTGTGTATCATTGAATAGTGACATAGATTTCTTTTCATTAAAAAAAAATCAAAATAAGTGAGATTACCTACTGAAAAAAATATCTAAACCTCCATCCGCTGTCTCATTTGAATCTAATCCGCTTCCTTATATGCTGAATATAACCTCTACATCATGATGCAGCCAACACCATCATCTCTTACTCTTTACCACTGAATAATTATGCAAATATGTATATTTGTATCACAGAAATGCTCCATAAAAAGCACTTTTTTGGTTATTCTGTGAGAAAATGTGAACAACCTAAATTTGCAAGGCACTTTAGAGGCTCCTGACTGTAATGCAAGGTGACTGTGTTTGGTAACAGGAAAACCGCAGTGAGCAGCCACCACTTATACATGTAAATTGTATCTGATTTCTTGATAACCAAGCCAATAAAATCTTCTCTTATTCAAATGTCTTTCTAGCTAGACACCCTGCATTACAGGAATACACCAAAGCTACCAAAAGTGACCCCATCCAAAGTGCAATGTGGCTGTACGGGTTTTATTTTTGTCATAAACTATTCTGGATATTACACAGGACCAAACTACTTAGCTCTTTGCCTATTAATAGACATCCATTCCAGAGCAGCGTGGTCCAGACAGAGAGACTGTTGAAGTCATGTTGGAAACACTGTAACCAAGCAGAGACAGACTCAGATAATACAGCCTTCACGTCTGGGCTTTTGACATGTTTTTGCAGGGGTTACTGTGTTTGTTGACATTATCTTAAAGTGAACAGCATGTCTTCAGTGGGTGTTTACAGTCTTGTACTTTCAGCTCACATCCATCAGATATGAGATAATGCATTGCTTAGTATCTGTAAAGGCATGAGTGGGTTTTGAGGACATAGTGCAGTGTCTTACTCCTATAGTTATTGAATTGAGAGGCTGCACGTGCTTCTGATTGTTTCACAAATCAGGGGTAAACAAAATAAAACGTCTGGCTGTCTGAAAATTGCCTGCATTTAGTAAAACAGAGCTTCATTCTTTTCCTTTTGCTAAAGATGCATTTTGGTTAAGAAAGTGAAAGCTTTTCTGTTCAGCAGTGGCATGCATGTGACCAGACAAAGGCTTTAAATGTGCATTGCTTATTTTACAGTTTCTATAGTTGGTCTCGTTCGTAGCAGCGGAAATTCAACCACCTAGATCAGATCTTATAATTGATAAGCACTTTAGATGAGAACTAAAATGTCTCTCTGTAGGCGAACAAACCTGTTTTATTTAGGACAGTTTGCTACAAAAGGGGGGAGGAAATAAACGACTGGGGATGTAATAACAGGAAACTGCAGAAACTCAGTCAGCCAAAGTGTTTGCGTCCTTACGAGACAAAAAGAAAACCTCAGTCTTCAGATATAAACCGATCAAAGTCATTTACTTTCACTGTAATTCAGCATGTATTCTGTCAAGTTACATGTTATCCCCCCATGCAACTCAGTTCACTGATTGAGAATCCTTTTTCTGTTTCCTTTTCCTTGTGCTTCACAGAGCGAGCTAACCTGCCGAGGAACATGATCGAGAACAGTATGTTTGAAGAAGAGCCTGATGTGGTGGATTTGGCCAAAGACTCAAGCGCATTTCCAGTATGCCAGTTTCCTATTTTGTTGATTAACAAAGGTCCAAATTGCACACATTGGCAGCCTTTTGCTAAATATGATGGTTGCTACAAAGGTTCACCAAACTGCTGTGGTTAATGAAGATGAAAAATAAACGTAACGGATTATTAATAAATAAAAATAATTGAACTTTATTTATCTCACAATGGAGAAATTTACTTCTGCATTTAACCCATCCCTTTGGGGAGCATTGGGCTGCCATTGTGTGGCATCGAACCAGATACTTCCAGCCCTCTCAGAGCAAAAGTGCACTGCTCTAACCACTAGGCCAACACGCCCCCAAGCTACCAATCAGAAACTCCATAATGGCTCCTCATATACAGACTGAATTACTGTGTTTTGTTTGAGTCCTATTTATACGAGATTGGAAAAGTATCCCTTTACCCTTGAATCGGGATGGTATGTTTGAGAAGAACAAAAATATGAACTACAAAGAAAATTATACATGATTTGTCAGATTCTTAGAAAGAATCTAAAAGGTTTTGCATGCTTTTTTTTTTTTTAC